TGCCAAGCAAGAACAGCTGACCCTTTCCTTTCGACTACTGGCCAGAGAAAACTCGCTGATCATGGTTTTAAACTCTCCCCTCCCGGAAACGAAGGCTAAGTGCACGGTCGTGGCTAAAAAGATCGACAAGACAATCCTGCCACGATCGTGCCAAGCCATCCAGGAGGAAGTCAGCACCATGAACGATGTCACTGTGGTGGATGTTTACAAACCACCAGAGTCGCGAATCCTTAAGATTCGCTGCTCAGCCCCCGAGGAAGCACAGAAGCTTCTCTCCCGTGGGATCGTGCTGTTTAACACATCCGTCCCCACCTACAACGTAGAAGCCGAGTGCTTTGTTCAGGTCGATCAGTGCCTGAAATGCTACCGTTACAATCACCTGAGACACACCTGCACACACGAGCAGCGTTGCAGCCGCTGTGGTGACCCAGGTCACTTCTTTTCCACCTGCAGCAAGGACATCAAATGCTGCAATTGTGGGGGGCAGCACGTCGCTGTCAGCGGGTCTTGCCCTACACGAAAAGAAATAATCAAGACTAAAAGACAAACACTCAAACAAAACAAAACAAACATACGCAACAGTCACCCAACCCTTACAAACAAGCACACCTACCACAAGACAACCAAACACCATTCCCTCAGGAACCACTCTGCCGCCTGCACACTTCCCGCAAACAAACACCTTCACACCAAACAACAACCCAAAAATACAAGCAATACTACACGTAGCTTTAATAGCTGCCAAATACAACGCCAAGAAATTCGCAAACATAGTCCCTATCATGCTTCAAAGAAACGGTTTCCCCAGCATTGTGATTCCTGAGGAAATCTTCGAAGACCAAAACCTGTACATACCTGAATTTCACACACAAACAAACACTCACACCGAGGTCAGAGAGGCGACCATGACATCCACACAGCCCTCTACCTCTCACTCACACGGACTCCCACAGCCACTACCACAACGAATACATAAAGAAACTGCACAAAAGAAAACTACACCAGATACTTCTGACAACAAACGCAAACATACCTCACCACCAGACATGCACACCAAAAAAGAAAAAAAGACCCTGACTCTCGGGCCCCGAGGCTCGTCACGTTCACGACGATACCATCTTGTCGGATTCCGACAGTAGCGAGAGCCTCGAGATCGATGTCGGTCTCGAGGAAGGCCCCGGTGCCTCCTCGCTGACTGCTCCCCTCGAGGGAGCAGGTCCTGTTCTCCCTGTCAGGGGAACTTTCGGGAGACGAGGAAGTATCGGGAATTGGTCCGCCGATTCCCGAGAATTCCGAGTCTCCCAGTCTCAGGAATCCCTTCCTGACTTTGACGAGCCCTCGACGGGGGCTCGTTCCCGTCGTTACCGGAGCAACAAACGCCACACAAGGTGAGACCACAACATCCGGACTCACCATGAGTGGCGGGCTGACAATCGTACAAGCGAATGTAAGATCATTTTTCAATATACGTAACATTTTTTACGATTTCCTCGATCGGGAATGTCCTGACGTGGTTCTTTTCAATTCCACCTCTATCACTAACTCCTATGCTATCAAACACTTCGGCTACACGTCAAGACTCACGAAACGGCTGGTTCGTAGGGTCCTGCATCCTCGTCAAATCCACCCTTCATTTCGAATTCATTTCACCCCCATTTATCCATCCAGACTTCATGGCTGTAAAGCTATTCACCCAGTAGGGCCCTCTAATGATTGCCACGGCCTATGTCAGACCAAATTCAAACTTGCCACTTTCAGATTTCAATAAATTATTTAGCTATAATAATCTTCCAGTCTTCTTCGCCGGGGATGTCAACGCATCACAGATATCACTACACCACACAACCACGAATGCACACGGTAGACAGCTCTTGTCAATTTTCAACACAAAAAGATTACATTACATAGGACCCGACTTCCACACCACAATCACGGCTAGGGGAAATGGCAGACCTGATCTCATGTTCGGGAACAGGGCCGCCCTCCCCTACCACACACACCTACAACCAGGTCCGGACATCGGTTCTGACCACATACCCGTGATCATAAAACTTTCCACCTCACCTATACATAACAAAGAAACGTCATCCTTCCGGTATAAGAAAGCAGACTGGAACGATTTTAAATCTTATCTTTCAGATCAAAATTTCGACTTTAACCTTGACAGAGAAAATGTTCTCGAAATAGATAGGCACTGGCATCATCTCTTTGCTTGGATTTCAGCAGCAATGCTCCGGTCCATCCCACGAGAGCGTTACAAAATACGTAAATCATTCCATCCAAGCGAGAGAACCAAGCGTCTCATGACCTGCTACAGGAATCGTTTTCTCCAAAATATTCAGAATTTACACCGAGTTCGGTGGGACCTCACTATCCTCAGAAACCATGTCATAGATATTTTTGATATTTACCGCAAAATTCATTGGCAAAATTTGATTAAACAAACAGAATCGATGCGAGTTCGCAATCCACGGGAATTTTGGCAAAAGATTAAACAGTTAATAGGCAGTAACTTCCCTCCCTTCAGTCACCTCCTCAAGGACAACACTCAAGTTTCAGATCCCGTGGATGTTATCAAAAATTTTCGTGATCACTGGCAAACTGTATTCTATCCTCATGAACCACACCCCTTTTTTAATGAACATTTTCAATCCATCAACACCTGGAGCCAAGAACACAGGATAGAAACAGAGCCAGAGCCAATTATCCACATGGATAGGCTGGACGACACATGCGAAATCCGTGCTCCCATCTTGCTGGAAGAGATTAAACAAATAATAAAGAGGTTTCCTCGTAAGGCTCCGGGCTCCTCTCAGATCGGGCGTGACGCACTCCTTATCTTCCTGACAACGTTTTACGAGCTATGACGCACCTGTACAATACCTCTCTTGCTTCTGGCTACTTTCCTGCTCCCTTTAAGACTGCTATCGTGGCCTCATACCCAAGCCAAACAAAGACCTCACTGACCCCAAGAATTACTGCCCAATTAGTTTACTAGAGACATTAGGCAAAATTTTTGAAAGAGTCATTAATTCCCGACTAAGGCGGTATCTCGACGACCATG